ATATATATATATATATATATATATAAAATGTAGACAAGCTAAGCAACATTCATGTTCTCTTGAACCGTGTACTTCAACAAAACTTAGAGATGGTTCAAATGAAGAGAGGCTTCAGCTACAACTCCAGCGAGATAAACAACATGAACAAACTTAGAACGAGATAGGCAAAACAAGAGAAGACTACACTCTAAACACACAAAAACGCACAAACAGTTCAATAGCATTCGAACGAACAGACTCGATAAGAGAGTTAGCGAGCCAGTTGCAACATACATCCGTATTCAAATTTCATAACCGTCATCACCACACGAATCGTCAGAAGAAGCCATTTCGAAATGAAAGAAACAAGAAAGTTATGCGAAGTAGGGGATTACCTGTCGACGAGCAGCGAATTGAGACGATACGAGCAGGTGCGAACTGCTTCTGCCACGAATGACAACTCGAACACCCAAGCGAGGGAAGGAAGCCGATGGATCGATCAACTCTTCCGAAGTGCGTAAGGAAAGCTGAAGAACTGGACTGTTCTTATGCTAATAAAATGTTAACAAAGTTTCAACCAACGATTCAACTTAAACTTTCGACCAAATTTCCAAAAATATCCAACCCAAGTTCTGTTTTTTTTTCCGAATTTTTTCGATGAAAATCTCTAACCCCCCTGATGACTGAAAATGGAGAGTCTTTAGAGAGGGACCCTCGGCTTCCATTTGAGGCCGTCTTCGACTCCCTTCGAATTGAAAAATTCAAATCCCTTTTCAAACCCCACAAGGCAAACATTGCGTTTGGCGAGGGCGACTACGACGTCTCACAGACCTGCTTGACAGGGCATGGGTCTCTGTCGTTGCGTCTCGTTCAAGCGAAAAGGAGAGTGGAAGAACGTGGGGTTGTTGGGGTTTTGCAGGAGATGGCGTCTGTGTTTCTGGGCTTCTGTCTAGAGGGTGAGGAGAGGAGAGAGCGAGCGTGGGCGTGAGACGCGGGAGAGAGGGAAGGAGAGGAGAGAGGACGAGAGTGCGAGAGCGTGGGGAGATGAGGGAGAGAGCGTGGGGGTCGCGTGGGTTCTAAATTTTTTTTTCGCGTCTGCACCTGTTCTGGGAAAAGGGGCGTGAGGAAGGGGGGAAGAGGGAAGGGGAGCTGGGTCGGAGCGGGTCAAGAGATTTGGGGCTGGGTCGGGTAGGAAATTAGGGGGTTTGGGTTGGGTTAAAATTAAAGGGAGTGTTGGGCTTGTTTAAGAGAAGTGGGAGGATTGGGCCTCAGCATTGGGTAAGGTATTGGGCTGGGAATGGATTTGGGTGGATTGTTTAAAATGTAAAAGAATTCAATTTTAAATAATAGCCAATTGATGGTACAAATTTGTTGACGAGCTTACTTATTTGGTAACACAACTATTCAAATTATAAAATAATGATTCAAAATATAGTCGTGATTTAAAGTAAACTAGTTTAATAGAATACCTTCAAAACTTAAGATATACATATATACATATATGTATACATACATATCTTTATTTTTATTTTATTTTTTTTAATTTTCGCAAGACTTATAAAATTAATTAACTTAAATAATTTGAAAACTCATGAAGCTCGATAATTAATTTATACCAACGCGGGTCAAAAATTGGGTGTCAACATTATACGTGTTACTTTATAGTTTGATTTGATATAAAAAAGATTTAATTTTTTTTTGATATTTATGAATTTTAAAATAAGTGATAGATATTAATATGATAATAAATAGAAAGACAATTCAAATCAAAATTTTTTACTTAATATAAAAATATATTATTATTTTTAGATCAATTATAAAAAAAAGTGAGTCATAAACCAAGACAAGGGGAGTGGCATATATTTCTGACCTCAGCATTACAAAACTTGGAGAGAGGGCACCTCCTTATCTCTAACTTATTCAAATAAGAGGAAAGAAAAAAAGGAGTATTGCTCCTCGTAACATAAGCTTACAAAAAATTTTAGTATTCATAAATTAAATATATATATATATTAAAAATTATAATAATGTGCAAACTTTTCATTGTTTCTTATAGCAATATTTAAAAATTTAATATGCAAGATTATAAACTCAATATATAACATTATATATAAACTTGTAAGAGTTGTTTATACTTCCATATACAATGATATGTATTATTATACAATAACTATAATAATGCATGTCTGGCTATGGAGTCTCACTTCAAAAATTACAGCAAATCAACTAAACTCCTAATTAATTTTTAAAAAAAGAATTAACTAAAATCTTGTTATGATAATTAACTTATTATGACCATTTAAAAGAAACAGATGGAGTATTAGTTAGTTAGTTTAAAAGAAGTCCTACCACTTAACTTTTTCATTCAAACGCCTTTGGACTGAATTGAAAAAAAAAAAGAGAAAGGAAGTAATTAAGCTTTTATATACGTACTAAGAATATAAATAAACTTTAATGTATTACGCCAGGATATTATTATACAAATAATTATTTAGAAATCAAATAAGGTAAATAACTTATTACACAAATTTACCTGAGAACAATAAAACCATCTACAATTAGGAAAATATAATAACCGTGTCTACTTAGTTAATCGAATTGAGTTTCCTTTTAATTTCTTTATTTTGGCCAAGAAATCCTATTTCAACTTTGTTAGTGAAAACAAAACGAACAACGAACATTATATTATATAACTCATGAATCCACTCAACACAATATATTTCTATTCTATAACCATAGTAAGTATCTATTCTTTTATAGTGATATAATTTAAAGTATGAGTGCAACGATGAACATGATATTAAAGAAAAGCAAAGAAGAAGACTCAGTGGAGAATTTTGCGATGGCAAATTGTGTAGATATAGCAAAGAGGAACGAGTTATTAGGACGTTCATCTAAACATAATTATGAGTGCAAAAAATGTAAGAAACGATTTGTATCATTTCAAGCACTTGGTGGACATGCAACAAGTCACAAGAATAAGCTCAACATGATGATGAGTACGAACAACGAATCATTACATAAAAAAAAACATGAATGTTCTATTTGTGGTAAACAGTTTGATACCGGACAAGCCTTAGGAGGACACATGAGAAAACATCGCAATGAATTGAATCAAATCGAGCAGAATAATAAGAAGATTAAATTGGAAGAGAGTACTAAAACAACTTTGAATTTGGATTTGAATTTGAGCATATGGGAATGAGCTAATTGTAACCCATTATATACAGATTGTGGAAATTTAGTTATAGGACAAAGATATAGTACAATTTATTGTTTTTTTCTTATCTACAAATTTGTAATGTAAGTATTAATTTATCTATTGAGGATATGTCTACAATATAACATGGTTATGTTGGTCTAACAATTACTTTATAAAACTTTCTTTTACGTTGTTTTTGGTCTTTTTGGCTTGTTAATCTATATATGCTCAAAACTATAAATCGGATCTACTTCTCTTTGTCCTAAGTTTCATTAGAATGTGTGAGTTGATATGAATGTTTTGAACTTTCTTATAAGTTGTGATGTATCTAAATAGTTGGCATTTTAATATGTTGTTGGAGGTGTAGTTATTTCTACTAGTCTATTGCGATAAGTTGGGGTGAAAAAAATTGAATTGAAAATCGAAAAAAGAAAAATCATTAGTGGTTTGGTTTTACTTGATCGGTATAGAAAAAAATTAAATTAAAATCAAATTATCCGACATTATGTATATTTAAAATTTATTTTATACATAAAAGTATTTACTTTAATATAATTTTCAAGTATTTCTTATATTTTTCATAATCTTAATCTTTTGCGTAACAAATTATCTTTTGTTTAAGACTTAAAATTTTGAATGATCCAATAAAGATTATAATTCATAAATATTAGTAACAAACTCTAATAAGCTCAAATCAAAACGAATGCTAACAAAAAAAATCAATTCAATAATAATATTGAATGTTTAATTATCTAAATCAATGCAAAATTGAAGAACAAACTACATAACCTAATTTCAGTTTTTCTTCAATTTTCAGTCATGTAATATAATTACTACTTATTAGACTCTTTTTTCTTTTCATGATTTAGTACTTTTAAATTATGAGATTTTTTTTTAAATTTTATTAGTTTGATTTGGTTTTAAAATTCGACAATTATAGTTTTAAATTATGAGATTTACCCACGAAAATACCGTAGCCACTTTAATTACCGTATCCAAATCCTAAATAGATTAGGAAACTAAGATAAAAGAAGAATCACTTCAATCCCTTTATTATAGTAGTCCAAATCCTAAAAAGATTAGGACTAAGATTTATTTTTTTTTTAAAAAAACTACTTTAATTCTTTTTTTTTCTTCTTTTAGATATGTTTTGTTTTGGAGAAATTATTATATTGATTAGGTTTTAGAGAAACGCATTAAGGCGCAACATAACTAGCCATGGCCTCTTTATCAAGAATGAAGACTACGTACGCCTATAGAAATTTGATCTAATTGTGGTGGTGGTGTTAAAACCACACAAAAGCTATCATTAAGGCTTCTGCTTCTTTTAGGGACAATATTGCAGTAAAATGGTTTAATATTTTATTTTATTTAGGTACTACTTTTTTCACCAACCAAGAAACTTTTACTAACATAAAATTTAGTCTAAAAACACACACATATGTCCTTTTCACCAAGCTACGTACGTATGCGCATGCGTTTGTTGCAGACTCCAGCCATTACATTATCAATTCATATATTCGATTTACTTTTATTGATTCGCTATGTTTTAAAAAACTAGTATTTTTCTGTTATAATGTAGTATTTTTAAAATATTAATTTATGTGATATAATTTGATTTGACACAAAATTTAAGTAGTCTGTGCTATGTACGGGCCCAATAATATATATGAAATATTTGAGATATATTTTTTATTAAAAAAACCATTATAAATCAGTTGGTCCAAACTTTTCTCTAAAAATTCTAAAAGAGAATTTGTGATATTTTCAATTCGTGTTTATGAGCATGAGTTAAAATTTCCTTTAAATTTATATGTGTTGTCATAATTTTTTTTTGAATTCATTCACGTTTTTAGTGTTTTAATTTTGTGCTTGAATATCAATTGGATCGATTCTATTTAATTGGATTTTGTATTATAAGACTAAATATAAAATAAAGAAGTAGTAAAAGATTAGCATCCATCGGATATAGGTCGAGTCAATTGTTTAAAATTGAGTTTATATTTATTAAATTAAAATAAAAAATATCATAAATAGTTTCCATAGGAAGTTGAATTTTCCGTCATATGTGATTTTTGTGTAAGTTGGACAAGGTTTTATCATTTTTGTGTTAGAAACATAATCAAGTGATTTTGACAGATAACAAAGAATCATAATTATATGATTATTTATGAAGTTTATCCCTACTTTTACTTAATTAAAAGTCTTGATCTTAAACTCTAAAAATTAAAAAAAATTATATACCAATTATTTTCTTTAATATATGTAAACTTTAGACGATATGTATCTGAATTAATTTTCTGTTTAAAATAATGTCACGAAAATCGCAACACAAATAATAAACTAGTTGTATCATATATCCTACCGCCAAGCAAAATTTGACTCCATCACAATTTATGTCATTTTCATTCATGAATTTGACTCCTACAAAACGATTTGTGAAAGGAATACTCGTAGCACTAAACCATGTTGCATTGTTTTTTCTCTTCCAACTTGTGTACAAACACATTGCTTTCATAACTCTCACCAACCGAGAAACTAATATTCGTTTCGTCCCATTTTAATTAGATGAAATCGTCTTATTTGATATGATATTTAATAAGAAAAAAACTATTTTTGAAATTTGTAGAGTTTAAAACAAATTTTACTTATTTATGTTATGGTAAATTATTTCGTTAAAGGTGAAAAAAGTTTAATTATTTTTAGCTATAATAAGATAACATTCTTTTCAAAACAGATTGAAAAGAAATAACATACTTGAGAATCATTTGTTGTGAGGTATAAGATATAATAATTTTAGAATAAAATACAGGATTACTATATCACATGTTTGATTTAAAGTATTAGATAACCCTTTGATTATTTATCCCATCATTTCCGTTATAGTAATTGAATAAGTCATATACATGACCGGATAACTTGTTCCAATCAAACGAGTCCCGAGTAATATAAAATTAGTCTTAAAAAGCACACTGTCCTTTTCACGATGCTACGTATGCACGTGTTTTTCTTTTTTCAACCCCTTTATTTGGTCAACCATACACATATGAAAGATGTTGGAAGTGTTCTAGAAACCTCAAAGAAGCCAACATTATTTTACTTTTCTTGTCTCTTTTTAATTGCACATTTTCTTTGACTCACTTAACCAACAAGGAATATTCAGACACACGCAAAAAAGTCAAGATACAAACTTATATATATATATGAAGCAACACTAACCAATTAAGTGTATCACATTATTCTTCAACTTCTAACTTCAATTATTTCTTTCAAAGTACTTCTAAATTTGATATCTTTGTAATATGACATCTATGAAAAGAAGCAGAGATGAGAATATGCAAATTGAAGTAGAGGCCATGGCTAATTGCGCTTTGATGCTTTTGTCTCGTTTTAATAACAACACTTCATCATCATCAGATCATCATCACATTAATGATTTTGAATGCAAGACTTGCAATAAACGCTTCCCATCTTTCCAAGCCTTAGGCGGTCATCGTGCAAGTCATAATAAAAAGCCAAGATTAATGGGAGAGTTTCTTGTTGAAACCAACAAAAAGAATAAGAAGCATAAATGTTCTATTTGTGGTGTGGAGTTTTCTTTAGGTCAAGCATTGGGAGGGCACATGAGGCGTCATCGCGATGAAATTAATAAAACGATAATACCAGTGTTGACCAAGTCCAATAGCAGCAAGAGGATTTTTTGTTTGGATTTAAACTTAACCCCTCGTGATGATAATGTTGTTGATTTCAAGTTATCGCCAATTGCATCTCCTGTTCTGAGAATTTTTATTTAATTACTCCATTATATATTCTTGTAAGATTAATTAGAAGAAGAAGCTGTAATACTTCAGTTGTTAATTCATTCATTAGTTCATCCCCTTTATATATTGCAGTAAATCGTAATTAGTTTACGGAATATATATATAATCAAAATTCTCTAAGGCATGATATGAGATGACATTCAGGTCAAATTTGATTTTTTCGCTAATTATTTGACATAGGATAACACTTATTTGAATTTCGAGATTATTTTTATGCAAAAATTTATACGAACATCCGTTAAGATCTTATCTGTGGAGTCGGTTGTCACCACAGTCAAATTAGCACATTTTCAAGGTTAGACGAGCAGCAGAGCAGGTAAACCCCTTATTTTTCAGATTTTAATATGCTATAGTCCACCATCTTTTTCTGGTCATTCGGAATTTTGAGATCATTTTTGCCAAAAATTTACATGGACGTCCGTTAAGACCTTATCTATGGTGTCGGTTGGTCACCACGGCCAAATTAGCACATTTTCAATGTCAAACAAGCCCTAAAGCGGGTAAACCCTTTATTTGCCAATTTTCGTGTGCTATAGTCCACCATCTTTTTTGGTTATCCAGAATTTCGCAATCATTTTTGCCAAAAATTTACATAGACGATTCTTAAGACCCTACCTATTGAGTCGGTTGGTACCACGGTCAAAACGATCCATTTTCAAGTTCAAACGAGCCCCATGTAAGCCCCCCACTTTGTCGATTTTGGTGTGCTATAGTCCACCAACTTTTTTGGTCATCCGGAATCCCGAGATCATTTTTGCCAAGAATTTATACAGATGTCTATTAAGATCTTATTAAAGGACTCGGTTGGTCACCACGGCCAAAACGATCCATTTTCAAGATCAAACGAGCCTAGAACAGTTTAGCCCCTCATTTTGCCAATTTTCGTGTGCGATAGTCCACCATCTTTATTTGTGATCCGAAATTTTGACGTCATTTTTGCTTTCATGGACGTCCATTAAGACCTTAGTTATAGATCTAGTCGGCCCTAACAATGAAAACGGTCCATTTTTAAGTTCAAACGAGCTCCGGAGTGGGTAAACCTCCCCTTTCATTTTACCGATTTTCGTGTGCTATAGTTCACCATCTTTTTTGGTGATCCGAAATTTCGACGTCATTTTTTCAAATTTTTTCATGGACAATTGTTAAGACCTTAGCTATGGAGCCAGTTGGCCCTGACGGCCAAAACGACCTATTTTCAAGGTAAAACAAGCCCCAGAGCATGTAAACCTTCTATTTTTACCGATTTTATGTGTGCTATAGTCAATGGATTTTCGGTGATTTGGAATTCCGACGTCATTATTTTTCAAAAAATATTCATGGATGTCTATTAATACCTTAGCTGTAAACCTAGTTGGTTCAGATTGCCAAAACGATCTATTTTTAAGGTCAAACAAGCCTCAAAGCAGGTAAATCTCCCTTTTTGTTGATTTTCGTGTGTTATAGTCCATGTATTTTTTATCATCCAGAATTTCAACGTCTTTTTTGCTGAAAATTTTCATGCACGTCCATTAAAACCTTACATATGAACTAGTTGGCCTTGATAGCAAAAATGGTGACTTTTTATTTTTCGATTTTTTTTAAAAATCTATCCAAACGAGCTCTAAATGGAAAGTAATAGGAGGATGGCAAATGAGATGATATCAAATTGTCTTTTTTTTTTTTTATGTTGTAAAAACTTAAACAATATATTTTTAAAATATAATTAAATACACTATATCAAATATCATTGCATTCGTCACCATCACCAACCTAAAAATAAGTACTATTACACTGTTGCTGCTAGTTAATTAGTGCTAATTAAGGAATTAGCACTAAACCATGTTGGTTGGTCTTTAGGTCTCAACTTGTGTGTTCCAAGTCACTGCTTTCATCACCAAGAAAGTACTTAGTTCAAATGGCACAATTTGTCCTTTACAAATCGCTACGCCATGTGTTTTCAGCAGCCCCTCATAATGTCAATCTTAACAGTCTTTTTAAATTAGATGTCATATTTTATATTCAAAATTTAAATTATTTATATATTATAAAATATATTTGTAAAAGAATATTCATAATTTTATATTTATTATCCATTTATTTTATAAGAAAACATAATTTATAATTGATATTAATTATTACTCTAATCAACCTTTAAAACATTTATGTTGGATATAATCACTGTTCTCATCAACCAAATTTATTGCTGATATTATTATTCTTACCAACTTTTGAATAATTTTTAATATCGGACCTCACCAATCACATTTGGAGTTGATATTATTATCTTACCAACCTTTTAAATTATTTACATCGAGGTGTGTGAAAAGATCAACAAATATTTTAAAGATAACTTTATGATTGTGGTAGAGCGTCCGCTCCTACTTGGAAGTGTTGTAGAAAGCTCAAAGAAGGCAACAATACATTAATTTTCCGCTCACATGAAATGACCTGAAATATTCCTTTTAACGCGTTACCACATACCTACCCCTCACTTAAAATCATTTCATTCCTTTTTCACTAGTAAACTACTATTCCGTTGAAATATTTTAATAATTTTTTATAAGATTAACGAGCAATTTATATTTAATAAGGGTGATATCTATTTTTATTTGTCATGATTTTTTTTTAAAGTCAAACGATAAAAATTTTAATTAACATTTTATGATATATTTTTTTAAGATATTGATATTTAAATTTTTTGTTTAAAATATCAAATTGATATAATTTAATTTAACTTTAAAAATTAGTCAAATTAACTTTTAAAAGACGCCACATGATAAATAGAAATAAATAGAAAAAATAATTATTTTTTGTCTAAAATCAAACAGTATAGTTAAACAGATAAAAGTATCGATCTCTAGTATTTCTTTGACTCACTTAACCTAAAGTCAAACATTTTATAAAGAATAATGTGATGCACGTTTTTTAAAAAACACGCCAAGCCTGTCTTATCTCTTGGTATAAATTTGAAGCAAAGAGAAACCAAATGTGTATCCTATTCTTCACTTCAAATTTCAAAAACAACTTTAATTTGTGTCGTCTTTCTTGATAA